TGCAACCAGTGGATAAACCCTGGGAGATTTTAGGGAGTGCCTGCGCTCTTTCACGTCCTGCGCTCCTGCTCTGGACTGTGTTGTCTTTTGTCTCCTTTCCCTTCCTGGAACGCACCCCTTCCTTCCTGATAGGCTTGATCTGTCACATTACTCTCCTGTTCGTAGATACGTTCCATCACACAGACAGAGTGCTTCTATTTTGCATTGACCAAGGTTCATCTCAGGGAGGAGATGGTGTGGCTTGTCTGGTTCTATCATCTGATCTTCCTGAATCAGTTTCTGCCACAAGACCAGATTGCAACCAAGTTCCTCTGTGAGAAAACAACTAAGACTGTGGGAAACTACCTTCAGTAGACTCTCATAAAAACCACCCTTATTAAATTCCACAATACAGTTCTATGTCAAACGGACAGGAAGGAAACTAGATTTCTAAGCCCAAAACAAGAGCTGCTGATGAAGTTTCTTCTCAATCCAGGCAGGCTTATAACACGTGCCTGGTCTATCTACAGCAGGAAGATGAGATGCAATGGTCTACTTTATATTCAACAAGTATTTTAATAGACCCAAACTCTTGGATAAATAAACTTCCCCCATTTAGGATGAGTGAAGATGATTACTGGGCATGCATATCTCTGTACATGACTAAGAGTACATGCAACAACTCCACAACGAGGTGTCAACATTTATAAGAGGTGAGTATGGCATTGTAACCGAACCCACCACACTTTTTGTACATGCAGCAATATCACGTTTGTGTACAAAAGAGGCAGTCATCACAATAAACCAGCCATCTTCCAGATTTTAACACACACACCCCACAGACGCCAATGAATACATAGCAGTCAACCCCATCCTGCTGCCCTCCATATGTACCAGGATTGCACCTTCCAGAATCTGCAGCAAGTAATATCCAAAATATCTGAAAGGTGCTGGGTTTGGAAAGCCTTCTAAGGGTGCTTAGAAATAAGACTATCTGCACTGTCTTCTTATACAGCTGAATGTATTGCCACTTTCTACTCATCTCCTCTTCTCAGGAACTTTGTAGAGTTCTCCTCTCCTTATTAAGTAATGGTGATCTGGGGGAAGCTGGTATCTAATCTATACATGGAGGATATTACTATCAGTTCTTTACCAGAGTCAGGTCACTGCCTGGTCAACATGCTGCTCACTGCCCCTGCTGACTTCCAATCAGGATTGTCCTCCCTAGGAATCTTATGGATCAAGGTAGTTTCCTGCAGGTGCTTGGAGATTTTCACTGTGATCTAATAGGTAGTTCCAATATGCATTGATCCTTGGAACTCAGAAATGAGAGGGGTACTGGACATGATTGCTTCTGAGCACCAATTCTGAGGACATTGGCTTACAGAGGACCTCTGGCAGAAAGTACAGGTAGTCCTCAAGTTATGACCCCTCATTCAGCAACTGTTCAAAGTTACGACAGCACTGAACAAGGGGAACATATGACTGGTCCACGAAGTTGCAGCCATTGCAGAGCTGCAGTCATGTGATTGCGAGCTGGGGGCTCAGGTGCCCAGCTCACAATTACACCATTACAGAGAACCGTGGTCACAGGGTCACCATTTGCGACCTTCCCCTCCAGCCTGCACTCAGTAGCACCCACTCACGACACTCACCCACCCACCTGCAGCTCTCGCCTGCCAGCCTGCTTGCCTAGGACTCAAGCCAGGCGAGGTCCTCTCTTAACGGCCTGCACCGTCTCTTGGGTTATGATGGCAACCGGGACTGCCAAGATTGCCATCACTATGCAGTCATGTGACATCACACTTTACAACCACATTCCTTAGCCATGGAAATTCCAGTCCCAGTTGCCATCGTAACCTGAGGACTCCCTGTACATTGAGAGTTCTGAAGGAGGAAGACAAGGACTGAATACAATCTAACTCAAGTACAGGCACATATCTGGGCTTATATCATGGTGATAAGAGAAAAAACAGTATTTCTCCATTGGCAGAATGGTGCATTGCCAGAATGATGTCCAGTGGCCTAATTCAAAGGGCCCCATTTCTGGTTGGGGAAGAGTGGGCAGGAAGACTTTCATGCAGGCCATGAAATTGCTAAGCAATTTGCCAATAAAATTGCTCATTATGCACTTAGATTTGGACTCCACATGGGCAGGTCCAGGTAATGTGACTGTGGCACTGTCTTGCAATGCTTATCTGGGATTCCTTTCAGCTTATGGACTCTCTCTAAGGAAGTGGACAGGGTTCTCTGCAGGATGAGCACTGCCAGCTGCATGTTGAGATACCATTTGGGAATGGTATACATGAAAATCTAAATTTGTTGGAGGACTGCCTGGAAAATATCCCCATAAATCTCTTCCTTTCTAACACTTTTTGCATCTATAAATATTCCTCAGACATTTCCCCGCATCTCTATACTGCAGTCCCAAAACTCTACTTTTCACCAGTCTGCTTTCTCTACTCCCTCCACCAGTCCACAAAATGAAATTAATATCATCTAGGTTTCCCTAATCCCCCAAATCTTCCCAGCACAACTAAGAATTACTGCCTCCAATCTCACCTCCCAGAGCTGAAGAATTTCAGAGAAGGGAAATTCTCTCTTGAACCAGATCAAGATCCACCGAAAACAGAAGCACAAGGTACCCGATTCCTTTGAATCTATGGGAAGGAGGAAAAGTAGGGCAGAAGTAGAAGCAAAAGATGGTATTGTATAATCAGGAATTCATGAGAGTAAAAGATTAAAAGCTTTTAAAGGAGTTGTAGGTCAAATTAAAGAAAGATGAAAAAGCCCCTGCATAATTAGGCTTAACAATCTTTTATCATGACATGAAATAAAGAAGAAAACATAGACATCGTAATAGGAACGGAGTCCCTTAATCTTTAGCTTCTCTACACCTGTAATACACCTGTACCTAGGAAGTCACAGAGTGGGGGATCCAACACTCTAAGGAGCAAGGTGAGCTGGGAAAGCTGGCGTTTCATGGATTCCTGGCTTTCTTCAAAATTGTGGTGCTGCAAGCAGAAAACAGAAGACCACGAAAAAACCGATGGGGAGAAGTAATTATTGTTAACTAAATGCACATACCACCCTCTTCCCTAAAAATAGTCCTGAAGATGCTCAATAAAATACAAAAACAGGTTTATAATCAAAACACATCATTAAAAAAAAAAAATTAAACACCCAGCAAGTCAGTCAAAGACCCAAAGCGTCCCTGAATTCCATACTGTAACTTTGTTTGAGAAATGTTTTAAAAGGAGGCTAGGAACACATTAATTAAATACAGTTACATGGAGTATTTATTTTATAACAGGTTGGGGTGACCCCAACAGTGTACTCACCACTAGTTCCATGAAACCACAGAAGCACCAGAAGGCATCTACTTCATTCTGGGTGATATAGAGAATGGGGGACAGGAGATCACTCATACCTTGTACATACCCTGTTCAGGCAAGCAAAAGAAATGATTAACAAGAGTGTTGATTTCTTAATTCGATCTGATCTTTCAAGTTTCAAATTAACACTTGTCTTTTCTGCTAGTGACTCTTTAAAGAACCTGCACCTTTTCCTGGGCTCACACGGTCCCAGGAAACATGCTGGCATTAAGAAGGCAGTGATGAACACAGTGACCTTGCTTCGTTAATTCAAACACCTATGGTCCTGGCTCACACGGCTCCTGGCTCATCCCAAAAAACAGTGTAAAACACCAACAGGTACATGCCCGTATTCCCTCTGAAGCACCTTTTTCTTTTCAGATCCATGTAGCTGCACATGATTAAATTGCATCTACTCCTTACTACCCCTACATCTGCTTCCTTCCACCCTTGTCCATTAAGAGGCCCTCCTAAGCCATGACGACCTGGCCTCACCTCTGCCCACCCTGGTGTCCTTCCTCAGAACTCACCGAGATCAAAGTTGTACATGCAGTATGTCATCAGCACATCATTTAGGAGTACCAGGCCTGGATTCTCATTGCCCTCATAGAATTTGTTGTTTCTATCTGTGCGGCTGACATCTCTTTCTGCAAAGGCACACATGTCCACAAGTTTATAAAACTCACTGTGCCGCCTCTTATAAGAGACATTCAGGAAGGTAACTTAGGGAAGGAATTCATAAAAAAAAGGCAATCCAAGTTAGCAAAACAAAGCAATAAGGAAAGACCAAATCGCCATAAGCGCATCTAGTTTAGAAAAAAGATGTTCCAAAATATTAGGAGAAGCGCTGATGGGACTTAACAGAAATCTATAAAGTTATGAATCAGGGTGCTGAGAAAGCAGAGACAGGGAAATCAGCCTCACTGTCTTATAACGTAGCATATAAGACCTTGGGAAACACTCAGTGAACCTGACGGGCAACAGATTCAGGCCAGATCAAAGAAAGCACTTATTTATACAATGCATAATTCATTCATACAATTTATTGTCAGAAGAACAGGTGATGGCTGCTGTCTTGAAAAGCTTTAAAAGATTCTGTCTTCCATGCATTGATCATTAACTATTAATCAGAGCAGAGAAAGGAAGGAACCTCCACATTCAAGGGGCAACGTGGACTGCCGTACTAGATACTGGGAAAGAATTAAAGGAAGAGAGGATTGCTTTTAGAAGCATCTGGCTGTAATGCGGGGGGGGGTAGATAATATGAAGGTTATGATCTTGTTTTAGGCCAGTGGCTCAGCATGGCTAAGAATTCCAGGAGCTGCAATCCCATCCCTGGCGAAAAAGACAGGCAAAACCCAATCACCCACGTGTGCTGTTACAAAACGGTAGCAAGCCTCTGTCAAATCAAAACCATCAGGCAGAATTTATACCAACCAATGAGGCTGCGATAGCCACGCAGTAAAGAGTTCCGTTGCTCCTGCTCCTCGCTGACCGACTTCCACTGTAACTTCATGCGGAAGTACTCATCTCTGAGGAGAACGTTGAACAATGTAACGGGAGAGTGTTCGGACCCAGGCCACCTCTGCAGACCTAACAGTCCTTCCCGAACCCCAGTTCCAGTGGTCCTTGAAACAGGCCACTCCCTGATCATGAACCAGGCTTACGTTTTCCGCCTCACTTGCGCCTTGTTCTCTTCACTGGTGTTGTCCCAACAGTAATAGCCCAAAAGATACTTCCATACTTCCTTACGTAATGACATGCTGAGACCCTGAAAGGGACAAAAAAAAAAAAAACGTAATTCAAAGAAAGGAACCAATGGGCCAAATTATTATGGAACAAAGCATCTACCTTGCATCAATCCCAGGACTTAAATCAGTGGTAGGAAACACCGTATCTTACTTCTCTGCCCAATTTTCATCCACATGCCAATAAAGAGCCACCATAATCTCCCCTTTTCATACTGTTTTCTAGTTCTAGAGACACATGGCATGCTGGTCCAGCTGTCCCCCTTCCCACAAATCTCACCCCAGCAAAGATCCTCTTCCGCAGCCCAATGGGATCCAGGACGCGCCCATCAGGATCCAGATGCTGCTCCCATTCCTGCTCTGTAATAGGGCTCTCCCGTTGGACAGAGGGCCGTTCTCCTAGTTGTGCCTGCTGCTAGGAACAAAGCAAGCTAAAAGAACAGTTGTATCTGAAGGAAAGAAGCTCCTTAAGAGGAAAGGAGGAATAAAACGTTCTTTCTTTTGAATTAATAGGGGATTTTAAAGCTAAAGAGCCTAAAGAACTCTTTCTATATTCAAATGTGCCTGCGTATTGCAAATGTTTTCACACTGAGAAGTTCTAGGAACACCTTCCCAGTTTAAAGACAGCAGTAGGTCTAGCAAACAATGGAGAAGCTCTGTTGCGGACCTGTTAGCTATTTTCATTTATTTAATCAATGTTTTTAGGTACCTTTAAAACCATAGTCTTTTGAAAGAAGCTTATAGGATAAACATGTTCGCATAATATAATCCTATTCAACATAATCAGCTCTTCAATCCAGTTCCAAATATAATACACTTTTAAAATACCCCCAACAAATATCATTCACATTTTCAGTTAAAATCCAGGAAGAACAAATAAGGTTTTAAACCCTCTTAAGAGTAATCACAACTGCCCATCTTGCTGGAAGAAATCCCGTAAGTTAAGGGCTATCACCCAGAAGCTGAAACTCTCAGTCCTACAAAACTTCGTGTCTTGGAATCCCTAATAAGTTTCTATAAAATGTCAGGATACTTTGAACACTAGCTACTACTACAGCAGCTTCACATTGGGTTCCCAGTTTTCTAGTCCTCATGAATCACTTGTATAGTCACCTGCACTGATGGGAGGACTAGATTAGGCAAAATTTGACATTCTGATACATGAAGATATGAAACTGACTGATGCCTATGTAAACGTGACAAAGCAGCAGAAACCATCTGAACAAACTAGCTGCCATTCCTCCTACACATTGTTTTGCAGACTTGCTCTAAGGTTGACCTCAGTCCGTTTAAGCTTTTATGTTTAAAGACAGGCTGGCTGCTCTTTGACCAAGGGAAAGGGATTTCCTTCAAAAGGGTTCACCTGTTCACCTCGCATCTGTTACTTCTACAGTGTCCCTGCTTCCTGCATTTCTACATGCACACCCCACAACATGACTACATTTTTAGCAATTCTATGACAATTGGAGAAAACAGGTGGCAGAAAGGATAACCAAGCATTCCTTGAGCCAGAAAAACACCTCTTCCCCTTGACTGGTTGCCATTTCTCCTACTCTCCACCAGCCCTCAAAACCGCCTATTCCAACACTCACGCAGGTGATGACTTCAAAGCCTGTCTCTTCCTCCACGTTGGCAGCAGCTGAGTCACCATGGGAATGCT